AGAAAGTCCAAGTAGGATAAACTCAGAAATACTTGTGTTTTTACTTAGGATATCCATATATCTACTTTTGTGAGTCTGTCAGAAGTTGTCTAAAAGAGAAGAAAACACAGAAAATCACAGAGAAAAATAAGACAGTGTTCCTATTCAATACTTCTGCATTTCACTTTATTATTTATTCAGAACATCAACCCTTAAGTCTGTCTTCAGGTTTGGCTCCAGATAAGACCGTGGTTGAATTCTTAGTTTATTATGAACATAAAGAAGGACTTTGAAAATCAATAATGAAGTACATTTTTATCTTAGAGTTTTTCAGACATTCATTCACTGAAACATTCATATCCCATCTTTGGTATGCACTAAAAAGTTTTGTCATTGTCACATTAAGAAGCAGTGTTCAAACAAAATACGCATTGTATATTACTGAAAGGAAATATATGAAAGAATATTCATCATTAATGTAATGTTTAATGTTAATACAGTTATATTGTTATTTGAAATTAAAGTCAGTATGTCAGGAAAGACAGAGGTTTTAGATTGAAATTATTCCTATTGCCTCTATAGACATTAATGCTATTCAGTTTATTTAGCCAACAAAATAATTGCTTGCAAGTGTTTTACAAAACTGGATTCAAAATCTGAATGTGATATTTCGATTTAGTGCATAAGTCTTTATACATCAACCATACACAGAACTTCCAAAATCACCTCCTTTTAAGAATAGGATGTACCAATGTTCACCATTATTGTTACTCAGCTTTTCTCAAAGAATTTGAGAAAAAAATAAGAGACATGAACCATTAATTTTTGTTTATTAAAAGAAAAAAAAGAGAATACCACAAAAAATGTAGATGCACTGTTTGTACAGTGTCATGAAAGTTATTTTCCCCTTTGGATCTTGGTTTCTTCTCAATTATTTTCACAAAGGCTTATTTGAACTTAAGATTTTTGAGGATGAATTAAATCAAAGACATTGTGACACTGACTGAGGCGGACTCAGCTAAGTTAATTAGAAAAAAAAAGGATTTACATTTAATGAGTTCAGGACTTGATCTACTTTAAGCCATAAAGTGCAGAGCCTCTCCTTTCCCTTCATGTAGGGCTCAATGCAATTCTTATTAGAGGTCTGTGAATTATTTCTAGAACTTTTCTTGTGTTTATCAGAATCTTATAACTGGAGCCAATAATTATTATTAAGAAAGAAAATTAGATACATGGGAATTTTTTCTGTAAATTTTAACCTGTAAGTCACATGATTTAAATGTGAAAATATAGTGTGTCTCTAGCTAACCACACAAAGCATGCAATTACATACCTTCCCTTGCATAGGTATCATTAAGGCAAATATCTTATCTGAAGTGTCCCATATACCAACCATTATATTTGACTTCATCTTCCAGAGTTATGTAAAAATTAAATGAGCAGAATTTGAAAGTGGAAATGTCTGATCATTCTCACTGGCCACCAGGATTTTTGAATGTGCTTGTACTCTTTCAGTAAGACTATCATGTGCAGTTATTTCCTCTGGACAGTCTATATTTCTAGGAAGTATTAAATAATATACTTACAGGAGCACATGAGCTGCCAAACTATTGATTGTTTTTCAGTTGAACTAGTGTTTAAACATTTACCCATTTTTAGACTGTTTCTTAGAGATGTTAGATTTTCTCTTATGTCATTCCTCTTAAACTTTAATGAATATAACAATAGTATATTCATTAAAATGAGTGTGGTAGCATGTTGTGACTTTCTAAGCTATGGATCAGGCATTTTATGCTTGCAGTCTTGTTATTTATCCACTTTTAAAAGTTATTGCATGCCTTAAAGAGAGTAGGTAAAGATTCTTCTATCATGTGATGATATAAAACCATTCAATCTGACCAGTGTGGGCAAACAATTTAAACACAACATCTCTTTTCTAAACATAACTTATTCAGCTAGGAGTATTGAATTAATTTCTTAGCACCCAATATACAATGTATTTTTATATTTTTTCAAGTTGAAACAAAGCCAAATTTATTTCCATTTAGTTAGCTCTTTTCAATCCCCTCATTCTTTTAGAAATTTGGCATTTGTACTTATTATTTAGGTACACATTTAATTTGTAACTTCAAATAGGGTGGCATATGTAGTTTAAAGGTAGGGTAATGTGAAAGGGTCTGGAAACCTACCAGGTTGCACTTGGACTTTGGAAGTAACAACTTTATGAAATCCTGAAATGCTTAGTCTTCATCATCCAATGAACTTGTCTGCTCTGGATTGAAAAGAGTACAGTATTTAAAAGCATCCATTGGTAAGGGACATATAGGAGAAAACAAATTTGATAGTTATTAGATCCCTCAGAGACTAGTGGAAAAATACACCGGGGGTTTTTAAAATATCTTTTTGCCATTACAGATAATGTGATTATTTTTGAGGTGAGAAAACTTAAAATACAGTCAGTAAGAAAATTTTAAGATGATAATATAAATTTTAAACTATGGTCTCCTTGATATATAAAAAACTTTTTAAATTTATTCCTCTTTTATAACAAAATTTTGTGCTCTTTAATTAATCTTCATCTCAGCCTCTGGAAACCACTTTTCTACTCTGTATTTCGATTTTGTTGACTTTTTGGTTCCAAATATAAGTAAGATCACATGGTATTTGTCTTGCTGTGCCTGACTAACCACATTTAACATTGTATCTTTCCAGGTTCATCCATGTTGTAACAAATGTCAAGATTTCACCCATTTAAATTCTAAATATTATATCACTGTGCATATATACCCACATTTCTTCATTCATTTGTTGATAGACAAGGATGTTGATTCTGTATCTTGGCTATTGTCAATAGTACCAAATAAGCATGGGAGGGCAGAAAAATCTTCAGATATTGTTCTTTGGATACATAGTCAGTACATAGGTAATTGGACTATGTGCATCTCTATTTTGAATTTTGAGAAAATCCCCATACTTTTTTTCCCATTTAGGTTTACTAATTTACATTCCCTCAGTATTTTCCATTAATAGTGTATAAGAGTTCCCTTTTCTCCATGTTACTCTCATCTTTTTGATAGCAGCTTTGCAAACAGGTGAGAGGAGACATCTCATTTGAGTGAATCCTGATGACTAATGATAAAGGAGATTTTTTATATACATTGGCTATTATTTTTATCCTTCTTTTGAGAAATTTCTACTCAGATCTACTGCCAATTTTTGAATTATTTTTTCTTAACATTTAGTTGTTTTGAGATTTTTATATATTTTATCAGATGTGTATGTGTTGCCAATATTTTCTCAGACTCTGGAATGTTTTCTTACTTGAATTCTTTGCTTTGCAGAATCTTTTAAATTGGCTCAGTCCTTTCTATTTCTGTTTTTTTTTTCTGTTTGTTTTCCTGTGGTTATATTCAAGGAAATATTGGTCAGAGTGATATCATAGCATTTTCTTTATTTTTGTGTTCTAGTAGTTTTAAAGTTTCAGCTATTGCCTCTGGATTTTCTGTATCTCTGAGAAACATATTGTACAAAAAAGAACATAGAAGCTCATGAGACTGTAAAGACAGTGTCTCTCTATTTAAATATTTCTAGATTAATGAGTGTTTAAGTACTTAGCCATTTTTTTTGACTGTTTTCAGGAAGATTAAATTTTCTCATCTGTTGCTCCTCTTAAGTTCTAAGGATTATAATGAGATCATCAATATTTTATAGTGGTAACATTCTGTGATTTTCTAAAGTATTTTATCCTTACAGTCTTATTATTTATCTATCTTTAAACAATGGCAGCCTAAAAGAAACTTTTATTTATATTATGTAACACAACATTATAATTATTTATTAATGTTTATTAATAAATGACAATAATTTAGAGAAAAATGCAACATATCTTTCTACAAATCTTGGGTCTCAATTTTCATCAAACAATCAATACATTATTTTGTTTTATCTGTGCTTCTTTTAAAAAAAAAAAGACTCCTGTTTTAAAGAGACCTTGCCGCCACCAGCATCAACTCCTGCTTGAATGAAGCTTACCTAACACAAGCATTGGTCTCTAAGGCATATCACAGGATCCTTGTGTTTTGGAACATTGTTAGGACTCTGACTGAGGGCCCTTTAAACAGTAAAATAACCAACAATAACTGTAAATACATGGAAAACAGTGCTGTGAACAGACTGTGAAAAGGACACTTGTTACAGGAAGAGAGATGAAAGAAAACTCAGTGTCACTTTGTGCCACCTTAGCTGGGAGTGCCCACACAGGGTGATTCAAGGATTTTTGTTTTGTTTCTGCTGTTCTCTGCATGTCTTCAAATCACTCCAAAAGCATAACACATGTTGATTTGGGGTTTCAGGTAAATTTAATGAGTAGGCAAATAAACAAACATGGAACTCATGAACAACAAACAACAACTGTATTTATTTTATTTCAAAATTTCCTTTTATTTCACTTTTTTCTATATATTTATTAAATATGGAAAGCATTCATGCTTGAAGTTTAGTAATTCCAGATTTTAAATGAAGCTTTTAATGTTTATTTTTTGTAGTATATTTACTTTTCTATCTGTTTTTTCCTATTTCATACACTCTTTCTTTCTTCTGTTTAGCTGTTTTCAG